TGACTCGGACCCTCCTGCATCAAACGTGTAGTTGGTCTCTTTGGCACAAGCTGGACATGCTATCACCAGTGATATTATAAATGCTGAAGGTAATAAGTAGAGTGTCAAGTTATTTTGCCTCGTGAATACTATGCTTGGAGTCACATTAGTTCAAGAAGGGACTTGATCTTTTTGTTTAGTTTCTTAAGCATGTGTATTTGTTTCAAAAGGTGATATTACTATGGTTTAAATATCTCAATCATCTGAAGTTTACTTTGAAAACTTATGACCTCCAACCATGGAAGGTCTGGATGTTCTCCTAACTGTAAGTCTACTCCATGTTTTTTCACTTTCATCTAAATTCAAATGTTAGGTGCTTTTTAATTTTTTTTTATTATTCTTTTGTAGAAGAGAAAGCATACACCTAAAAGTGAACCCGAACGTAATGGAAAGATAGATGATATTTCATTTAGACATTTACAAGTATTTTATAACTGTTTGCTTTCAAAGTGTTTGTTTAACAAATTTGATATAATTCAGGTAGCTCTCTAGTGCAAATGTCTCCTTTAACTAGTTGGTTTACTTCTTCAAAATCCGCAAACATGGTATGCTGGCATGTAATTGGAAATTTTAGCATTCGTTTGTTTTCATCAATACCTTTATTCATCAAAACTTCTATCAATTCTTCTTTTATGCTATATTGGCATTCTTAGTCACGATTTCTTTTGTTTGTTGAGCCTCACCAGGGTTGTGTTGATTTAAACTGCGTTCCTCCATACTTATTTGATTTCATGTATTCACAGTTGGCAAACTCTCTATTAATGTATTGTGTTTGAAGGCAAATAGTGATTTTGATGCTAAACCAATGGTGATGCTTTTGGGTCAAATAAATTTAAGCTGTGCATGCACTTGCTATAAAAGTCATGACCACTTCTCTTTGTCGCTCTCTTTAACCAATCTTCGGTAACCAATCTCTTGTCTTGGTTCATGCAATGGACTTGTTTGTAACTGAAGCTGTATAGTCACCTTTTGTCTCTCTCTTTCATATTTTGCTACGTGCAATTGTTGCAGGTGTTGTTTCTATGATGAATTTATGACCCGATTCCAATGGTTCTCAGATTTTTATTACCATGGTAAAGACCAGCTGGTACGCTTTGTTTTTGCAGTGATTCGTACTATTGACAAAAGTAACTTTGACAAAAGTAACTTCTAAACTTAGTCCAATATACTCTCGGCAACTTCTCCTCACTACTAAGATAATTGCACAGGCTGGACATTGAGCATGTTGTTTTCAGTAAAGTCATTGAAGGCATGGATACTGTGTATGCCATTGAGGGCGGAGCTGGAACCTACAGTGGAAAGTCCAGAAAAAAAAAGAGATTTTCCTAAACAGTCGAGCTTCATGACGACGAAGGCAACAAATTTTGTTTATAGTATCTAACATTTAGCTATCTAGCTTCATGTTTGGGAAAACTGTAATTTATTCTTTTTGTTAATATGCATATATATGGTTGGCTATCGTAGAATGAAAAAAATCAAGTAAATTATATAATTTGCGCAATAATTTTATGTGTTGTAAAATAAAATACGTGACAGAGATAAATAATCATGAAATAAATTAGACGATGACTATATTGTTGCACAAATAATGATGCGACAAACTCTTTGTGCTGAGAAATAAATTTAATTACAGACATCACTTGTTACATAATAAATTTTACTACAAATGTTGTCTTAAAATATATATTTTGCAACATTTCAAACACATTGTAAATCATATTTCGCGACAAAAATACTTGTTATTAAAGATAAATAACGACGAGCATGTGTTCTTGACTTGTTGCAAAATAGAATAGGTAACTAAAGTTGTACCTTTAATATAATATTCATGGCAAATATTTTTCTCGCAAAAACTTTATTGGAATATTCGTTGCGACAAACTAAGTTGTCGTCCTTTAAATTTTTCGCGACATATATGCTTTGCCACGAAATTATGGCTACAAATATTGTGTTGTCTTTTTGTATTTTTAGCGTCAAACAAATAGTGTCGCGATTTTGTTAATGTGATGAATGACTGAAAGTCGTTGCAGAATACAATCCATAACTCATATAGCGCGACAATACCTGCAACAAGCATATTGTCGTCGCAAAATTACTTTTGCAAGAAAATCCCAATTTCTGCAACAACATTTTTCGTCTCAAAATCAATTATTTTTTGTAGTCGATGGTTGAACTATTATCACAATATAATGTTGTGGGGCCTTCTTGCTTGAATTTCATAGCTCCTTAACTAATTTGTTATTCTCTATCTCTCTCTCTCCTGGTGACGACCCTAGATCTGTCGCCGCCACCTCTCTTGGTGGGGCTATTCCGCCATCATGGCTGAGCCACCCGGCCATGGAAAAAAATTTGCACCACCCCGTTCGAATAATCAGGTTTCCTCCCACATTGCTCCAATCTCATATGCAGTTGCTGTATCTTCTTCTCTAATTTACCATGACCTCTCTTATATTCCTGGGGTGGATGTCGCTGTCTCATTAAGACAGCCACAATGGAAGGAAGGGAAACATGCTATGGTATTTTCCCCACTTGAATTACAGCAATCTAAAGCACCGCTTCAATATGCTCTTATTGCAAAATTCTCAAAATCTTGCCCTCGAATGGATGTTATTCGACATCATATTAGCACCAAATGGAGGTTATCGGCTGTTCAGGCGCCATGTTCTGATTAAGCTTTGGAATGCAAATGATTTCTCAAAAACCTGGACAAGTGACTCACACTCTATTGAAGGTTCTCTGTTTCGACTATTTAAATGATCAAGAGATTTTAATGCAAAAGAAGAGTCCCCAGTCACTCTGGTTCTGGTTTGGATTAGATTTCCTCTCCTTCCATTAAATTTCTGCATACCTTCTTATCTGCAAGCTATTGTGAGACCACTTGGTAAATATTTGGACACAGACCTTCCAACAATCACTTTTACAAGGCCCAATTATGCCAGAGTATGCATAGAAATTGATCTTTCGGTTGCAAGGGAGGATGTCATCTGGATTGGCTCAAATAATGGTAAAGGGTTCTGGCAAGAGGTAGTATATAAGAGATCTCCTAAGCACTGTGTTCATTGTCGACTACATGGTCATGAGAAGGTTGATTGTAATCGATTGAACAAATGACATTATAATGTGTTAGGTCCCAAGCAGAAAGGTTCTATAAAGAGTACCCCTGTTCTACCTGATAATATGAGTGATTTGAAAGTGGATACTCTAGCAGAAGGGAGAAGGAGCAGAGTTTGAAAACTACAAATGAGAATGGAAAAGATGTTATAGTTATAGTGAGTCCTAAATATCGAGTTCATGCATCTATCAATATTGAAAATTCGACTTGCAGTCCCATGTTAGTGGGGTTTGTTGCGAATGATGAAAGACAGGAAAATAAATTAATTACAGAGAATGCTACAATTATTGAAGGGCAAAATCATGTGGAGGCTAATAATGTAGGCGACGGGAATTTTAATAAGGATTTAAGAGAGGAAGCAGTAGTTGTAGAATCAGAAACTTTTGTAGATGAGGACTTTCTTCCGAGGTCTTTACCTTCACCTCAGAGCAAGATTCCCATTCAAGAAATTGATGGCATTCCTATAGGTAACTCCTTTGATGCATTAGTTGATACTTTGAATTTGGAGGCCCTATGGCGGACTGGTGGTGATCAAAATTTACGACCTGGGAGGGATGAGGTTTACCAATCTGATTCAAATGCACCAGATATTAGAGCAAATAATAGAAACAATAGGAAGCTCGTTTCAATCTCTGACCTACTGGTCAGAGATACTCCTCAAATGTATTCCTGATGAGTGCATTCCTTTTTTGGAATGTAAGGGGGTAGGTAATGCAGCAACAAACCGCCACCTTACATTAATTTTTCGAAAGTACAATATAGCTTTTCTTACCATTCTTGAACCTATGACACCTTTTGATCAAGCTCCTCGGTTTTGCAAAAAGCTTGGCCTCTCCCAGCTTTACCTTGTTAGGAGCTACAAATCAATTTTCGGCAGTTATTTTGGATTGGAAGGGAG